ATTTTTTGTCCAATCTCATCTCAACACGGTTGCCATGCGTCAGCCACGCCTATCCAATGATGTCTCCGTAAAAGACCCAGGAGCACCGGCTTTGGGGAGCTTCTGGAGAGCTGAACATGTGGAGATCTGTCCATGCGCCAAGAGGGTGGCGCACCCCCACTCCATGGGGACAGAAGCTCCTGCGCTTGCCCAGGACCCTTCCAGACCTCACCCTGTGTGACTCTTCATCTGGCTGTTTATTTATTTGTATCCTTTCTAATAACGTTTGTAATAAACTGGTAAACATAAGTAAAGTTTCCCTGAGTTCTGTGAGCCGCTCTGGCAAATCATCGCACCTGAAAGGGTGGTCAGTCCGATGTGGCGGAGGGGGCGATCCTGTGCGCCAGAGCCCTGAATCTGCGTATTCCGTTTCCAGATGGTATAGATGGGGTCAGCACTGAATTGAGTTGGAGGATACCCCAGCTGGTGTAGGCTGCTGAACTGCTTGCTTGCTTGGTGTGGGGGCAGAAATCCCCAACACATTTGGCCACAGATGTCTTTTGTTGTTGAGAGAGCAGAGGAGGAAAACAGTTTGAATTTGTGTTTTTTCCGCTCGGTACCGTGGCAGTTGATGCAAATGATGCGGGTCTGGGGTGCTCTTGCCTGCGTTTCACACCTGGTCTGGGGATCCTAGGGGCTGGCATTTGGTTTTGGATCCTAACCAGAGCTTGATGTGGTGCCATTTCTCCTCCATATGCCCTTTCTGTCTACAGAGGAGCTGCTGAGCCTGCTCTTGCTGAGCTTTCCAACATCCTCCAGACACTCCCGGCTGCTGGGGAGCGAGAGTGCAGTGCAGGGCCCAGTGCAGGGCCTCCATCCTGGGGATGGGGCCAACAGGGAGACATGCTGTCTGTGTTGTTTGTTTCCTTGGCCCAGAGGGAAGATGTGCAGGTTCCCGGGGCCCAGCCAGTGGCACTCAGCTCCTGCCACTGTGGGCCAGGGCCACACTGCTGTTTGATCTGACAGTCGTGGAGTATGCAGGGCTGCCCAGGGCACTGTGCTGCCTCTGCAAGCTCACACCAGAGCTGCACTCAGGAGCAATCTCTATCCTGCAGCAAATTCAGGGGCGCTTTCTTAGACGGTGATGGTAGAATGTGAAGGATGAGTGGAATTATGATAATTGGAGAATTGAAGGAAGGATGTGTGTGGGATACTAAGAAATACTTGATCTTCTTCCTGGGTTCCTAACATGGGGCTCCTACAGCCCTGGGAATTTCCTGAGTGTGAGTTCTTTTTGTTATTCATAACAAGCTCCTTTCCAGCCCATTCAAGTTCATGCTAATGAAGTTTAGAGTAGGGCCCCTAGATTGCCTCAGGTTCGGTCTGGCACCAGAAAGACCAGGTGATTAGAAGGTGGGAACTTTCAATCCCAGTCTGTGACTCCGGGGAGTCTGGGTGCTGGAGGTGGAGCTCTTTACAAACTTGAGATTCCGGGGCGTGGTGGCTCACACCTGTAATCCTAGCAATTTGGGAGGCTGAGGTGGGCGGATCACCTGAGGTCAGAAGTTCGAGACCAGTCTGTCCGACATGGTAAAACCCTGTCTCTACGAAAATTAGCCGGGCATGGTGGTGGGTGCCTGTAGTCCCAGCTACTCGGGAGGCTGAGGCAGGAGAATTGCTTGAACCTGGGAGGTGGAGGTTGTATGAGCCAAGATTGCACCACTGCTCTCCAGCCTGGGCGACAGAGCAAGACTCTGTCTCAAAAAAAATAAAAATAAAACAAGGCCAGACGCAGTGGCTCAATCCTGTAATCCCAGCACTTTGGGAGGCCGAGGTGGGCAGATCACAAGGTCAAGAGATTGAGACCATCCTGACCAACATGGTGAAACCCCATCTCTACTAAAAATACAAAAAAAATTAGCTGGGCATGGTGGCATGCGCCTGTAGTCCCAGCTACCCGGGAGGCTGAGGCAGGAGAATTGCTTGAACCCGGGAGGCGGAGGTTGCAGTGAGCTGAGATCGCGCCACTGCCCTCCAGCCTTGCGCCTGGCGACAGAGCGAGACTCTTGTCAAAAAAAATAATAAAATTTGAGATTCCGGTGACTGTCAGTCACTACCATCTTGCCTGTTCATCTCCTCGGTGTGGCTGTTCCCACCTGAACTGCAGCCTTGAGGACACCACGCCAGGAAGCGTCAGGGCAGTGTGTTCCTCAGTTCTGAGTCATTCTGGCAAATTATTGAACCTGAGGGGGTGGAGTCATGGGAACCCCTGAATGTGTAGTTGGCCGGGAAGGAAGGATGTGGGTTGCCTGGGCACCCCATCTGTGACTCCATCGGAAGTGGCGACTGTCTTATGGGACTGAGCCCTTTAATTTGTGGGCCCTGACACTAGCCCCAGTTATCAGAGAGCTGGAAACGTGGTGTCAGATAACACCATAGAACGCAAGCCTGAGGGGAAGCCAGTGTAAAAATAACACATGAGTAATAAGTGTGGGTGGTTTGGGGCCAGCAAAGCCCTGGAGTGCTGGGGTTTACGGTCTGTGGAGGGAGGTGGCCATGTCCGGAGCCTCAGGCCGGGCGGGGATGGTTGGCGTGCTGGGGAGAGTTGAGGCTGCCCTGTGGGTGATTTGGGGGTGAAGCTAGGTCTTGACTAGAGCTGGGTTTGAAGAAAGAATTATTGGTGGCCCGATGGGTTCTGAGACAGGGTCAAGTGTGTCCCTTCCCTCCTGGCTGTGTGAGCATCTAAGTCACTGCTTCTTGGAGGCTCACGTCCGTAACAGTAAAGCAGGAATGGTGTCATCCCTCCTGGAGGGCCTCCTGCCAGGGTGTTGGTGAAATGCGTTTCGATTTGTGAAGCTGTGCTAGTGCTGTTGCCATTTCGTGAGCAGTTATTGATGAACAAACACCTAGAGCCAGCCCTGCACCAGGCCCACGCTCACCCAGGGATGAAGCACTGACGGAAGGAGGAACAGGCCGGAGGCTTCACCGAATCCAGCTAAGAGGTGACGGGGCTGAGACCCAGACTGGCTGTATCTTCCTCCCCCTGCCACTGTCCCCTCCGTGTGTTCTGCTGGTGGCCCCTGCTGCCAATTCCTGCTCCTCACGAGGACTCCCACCCCCTGGTCTTTTTTCCAGACTTCCTCGTGGTTGGCACTTGGGAGTGCCAGCCCATGGGCTCACCTCCAGCTGCCTGCACTTGAGTGGATTCCATGCCAGCCCCAGGCACTAGAGGAAGACACCAGTGAACGCCAGCATAGGCTGCGGGGCCACCCTCAGTGGCAGCTGCTCTTTATCTATCTGAGGTATGGGCTTCCACTCACCCTCCCCTGCCTCTGGGAAGAGAATGACCGTTGTGTCACTCAAGTACATTTGGGACCTCCTGCTGCTTCCTCTAGATGGTTTAAGCCCAAAGCCTTGGGGTCCGATTTTCTTTCTGCCCCGGAGAGGTGGTGCTGGGCTCTCAAGGTCTGGGCCCCTGGCATGGGGTGAGCCTTGGGAGGTGGAGGCATCTCTACCTGACCCTGCAGTAGAGGGTGCCCTGACCCTGCCCATCTTAGACCTTTCCCTTGCAGGTGCAAGGAGTGTGGGGCTGAGGCAGGAACCGGGGTCGGCCTGCACCCGGTCGCACCAATGCAGCACGGACGGGTGGGCCAAGCAAAGCCGCGTCCAGCACTGCCCTCTCTGCGGGTCTTGCCCTCACTTGTGATACACGGTGGGTAGAGACCCACTTCATTTTCCTCTTAACGAGAAAAAGGATGATGCAAGGGCACTGGAACGGCCTCGGCGTGAGTCCTGGGTGATGAAGACTGGGGCAAACTGGAGGGTGTACACCCCATGATGAGACCTGACGTCTCTGTGACTCCAGTCCCCACAGGTGGAAGTGAGGACCTGGCATTACGAAGCTTTGACAATTTCAAGAGAAGCCAGGCATCTAGATTTTAATGTGGCAAAAGATGTTGCCAATTTAAAAATATTGGCAACCAATTTAAATTTCTAAAACAATATTCGGTGTTCCGGTTACAGCCTGTGGCACCATCAGAGAAGAGTCTCTGTTTTCCTCTGGTTCCCATGCTCCTGAGACACGAGGCAGGAGGGAGGAGCGGGTATGAGACAGTGTCTGCCTGAGCTGGGCCCATCCACGCGCCTGCAGCTCGGCTCTCCTCAGCTTGTCCTTTCCCCCCAGTGGGTGGCTCTGCCTGGGCCTTTCTGCCTCCAGGGCTGGGGAGGCTGCCTGAGCCTGCCTCTCATCGGCTGCCACAGTTGACTGTCCTGGGCCCACACAGGCAGTGCCAGAAGGACCCAGTCCACTCACACATACTCGGACATCTCTGCACAGAGTGACTGGAGCTAGCTCTTGAGTCTTGGCATCCGATGGCAGGTGGCAGTGCCTTTCCAGGGGCTAGAACAGGCCCTTGCCCGCAAAACCACAGGCCTTCAGCAGCAGAGGCATCCTCCGCCTGCTGTGACAATACCGGATCTCAAAAGGGGAAGAGGGGTGGGTCACAGAATGGAGGAAAAACTTACAGAATGAACGCATCAGGACCATGTCTTGGTAACCTCTGACCAGCACAGAGTGGGTTCCAATAAATACTGCTGAATTGATACCTTGCCCTCTTGCCTGGGATGTGAAAATTAGGATGGACAACCTCACCCCTCAGCTGCAGCAGCTTCATTCCTTCTTCAACTATCTACTTGCCAACCCTGGATGCCTGCTGAGAGGTCAGAGAGAGCAAGAGTGGCAAGACTTCCCCTCTCGCCCCCAAGCCCACCCTTCTCTGCAGACTTGACACGCTGCACACTCCGCCTGTCCTGGCTGATGACGATGAGCATCCTTGCTCCTGAAGCTGGGCATGGGTTGCCAAGTCTGGTAGAAAGGTCCCAGTGCTGTCACAGCCTCATTCTACCACAGATGGTCTGACAGGTCAACTTCCTGATGCAGTTCCCAGAGACATCGGGATCCTGCTTGTGTGCAGAGTCCCAGCCCAGGACATTCACTTCCTCTCAAGGACATCACACATCCCTTCCTGGAAAACCATTTTAATTATAATAGCTTACACAGGCTGCAGAGAGGGAGAGGCAGAGCCGGACCTGATGAGCTGTGCTTTCCAAACTGCCCAGTCTCCTTTCTGGCTCTGAACACGTTAGCAAGAGTTCTAAGAGGCCCCAGACCTCCAACTGCAAAGGCAGAGAACAGTCAGCCCCAAAAAGCCAGCAGGGGAAGGCAGGGAGGCTGTGAATGCTGATGTTCGGCAGAAGAGCCAGCGTTGTGGTGGGAGGAGCATGGAGTCATACAGAGGCTCCACCCAGTGAGGCCTCTGGCCAGGGGCCGTGTTTATGGCTGGAGTCAGGCAGAGGTGGGAGCTGCAGGAGAGAGAAGTCTGGCTGGCAAGCTTCAAGGGAAGGACAAAGGCACTGGGGCAGATATGACCATGGACAACAGCAGTGCAGGCAGAGCCCTATAGCACTACAGCAAGCAAGGCCATCCACGAAGCTCAGGGACTTGGCCTCTGCACAAAGGCATCTCCCAGCCAGAAGTTGGAGCCAAAGTCCCAAGCTCAGCCCTACACCATAACAGCCTGTGGGTGTGGTGCTGGGTCAGCATGGGGCCCCACCATCTTTAGCTCAGTGGCAGTTCTGACAGCTTGGGTGGCAAGGAATCCCATTCACCCTGCAGCGGCAGCCCCCGCTGGTATCTCCTGGGCCCTAGAGGATGGCAGGAAGAGAAGAGAATGTCAGCGTAGTGCAGAGAGATTACCCTCAAAGCCGACCACTCTCCCAACCTGGGCCTTTGCCTCTGCAGGTCCTCCCGCAAAAATGGCCTTGTCGGCCTCAGCTACCTGATGGAGAGTTGTTGAGGCCTTTTCTGGGCTCCCACGGCACTCAGTGTACCCACACCTAGATCCAGGAACAGGGCAGGGAGAGGATCTGACCACTCTTCACATATTCTAGACATAGCGCACTGGCAGCGTGCAAGAGGGCAGTTTCCTCTACCTCCACTGAAAGTCTACATGAACCTAACAACAAGCCCCCAGTTCCAGAGTACACCCCTAATCATGACAGCTACCATTTGCAAGGCTGCTCACCAAGTGACAGGCCCTCCGCTAAGCACGTCTCTTGCAATTTTTCAACTTGATTCTCACAACAAGCCTGAGATAAGCCCAGCTATCATCCCCATTTCACAGAGGAAATGGGGCTGAGAGAGGTTATGTGCCAGAGCCAGCGGCCAATCCACCTCCAACTCCAGATCGAACCTTTACTTGCTGTCCTCCAGGGCAGGGGTGGGAAAACCTTTTCGGCAAAGGGCCAGTCATTTTGGGCTGGGCAGCCATATGGCTTCTGCCTCTGGAGTTTAAGAGCAACCACAGACAACATGTAAACAAATGAGCACGGCTGCGCTCCAAAGCGCTTTACCTAGGGACACTGAAATGGGGATTTCATGTAATTTTCATGTCACAAAATAGTCATCTTTTAGTATTTTTTCAACCATTTAAAGAACATTCTTGCAACTAAGCAAGGTGGCTCACACCTATAATCCCAGCACTTTTGGAGGCCAAGGCGGGTGGATCACCTAAGGTTGAGCGTTCAAGACCAGCCTGACCAACATGGAGAAATCCTGTCTCTACTAAAAATACAAAATTAGCCGGACGTGGTGGCGCATGCTGTAATCCCAGCTACTCGGGAGGCTAAGGCAGGAGAATTGCTTGAATGCAGGAGGCAGAGGCTGCAGTGAGCTGAGATTGCACCATTGCACTCCAGCCCGGGCAACAAGAGCAAAACTCCGTCTCAAAAAAAAAGAACATTCTTACCTTAGGAGCTGTACAAATTCAGGTGCTGGGTTGGATGTGGCCCATGGGCTGTAGTTTTCCAAACCCTCGAGACAAACCCCACAAGGGCACCGTCTCCATACTAGTACAAGTGAGACTCACCCCGGGGCCCCAGCGTGGGCCCTTGGTGACCCAGCAGATCTCAGTGTGGCAGACAGTGCAGCGGATCCAGTCGCAGCCATCCTTCTTCTGCACCACGATCTGGCACTGGGGGCAGCGCATGGCCTCGCCCTGCTGCAGCATCACCTGGAGCAGGGCAGGTGCTGGCCTCGGGGTGGGGCTGGGGCAGCCACCCAGCCTGTCCCCCTCCCCATGGCAGGGAGAAAGTGGTGACCCCTGGAGCTGTGGAGTCTCTCCTGTGCGGCTCCGCCGGCCAGGCTCTGTCCAGCGACCCCCTCTTCATTCCTGTGGTCTCCTCCCTCCACCCAGACACTCTTCCCTGACCTGACCACTCGGCCTAAGTCCCATCTCTGGATGGGAATGACGGCCAGAAGGAGGTCAGAGCCTCCAGGGATGTGAGCACAGCCCTTGCTGAGAAGCCCCCGGTCCCCACCTGGATCCCAGAACTTAAATCCCTAGGCCTCGGCCCTGTCGCAGCCTCACCTTCAGCATCTCTGTTGTCTGCAGGGCAGCCACGTCATTCTGAGCCCGCAGGGCCAGGTCCTCCTGATACTCCTTGCAGTTCATCTGCTCGTGGATGGCCTGCAGGGGGTGAGGGGCTCAAGGTGAGAAGGTTCCTTCTGGGTTAACAAGCTGGAAGAGGTGAGCGGCAGGGCAGGAGTCCACAAAGGCACTTAACGCCTCTAGGTGTAGTCACTGGCAGGGCCTCACTTTGTAAAGCATACACCCATTTTACAAAAGAGGACACTGGGGCCAGGGAGGTGAAGTCAGAGTCATCACATATGCTAACAGCAATAGATACCTCAGCCTCCTGGGTAGCTGGGACCACAAGCACGTGCTGCCACACCCAGCTTAAGTTCTGATGGGCACAGAAACCCCTTACACCCGTAGGCTGAGACCCCGCATCCCTGCCTAGGCCCTGCCCGGGTTACAGGCCCAAGCTCCAGTTGTGTTTACCAGCTCCTCCCTCACCTTCATGGTCAGCTTTTGAGATGAAGGGACAGGGACAGGCCTGGGGGAAGGATCAGGTAGGGCTGTCTGGGTTTGAGGTCAGCACTCAGTTCAGCACAGGGGTAGACACGTGGTATAGGGCCAGGGTCAGGGCTTGGTCTGTGACAGACAGGTTCGGTCAGAGCTTGGTTCAGAGTCTGGGCTGAATATGGGACCAGCTTAAGTGACAAGTGCAGAGTCAGGTTTGGTCAGAGGCCAGGTCTGTGGACTTGGATGGGGTCGGGGCTCAATGTGGGACTGGGATTCAGTCTGTGACTAGGGTCAGACTTAGGCTCAGCCCAGGGACAGGATTTGGTCCAGGGGCAGAGCTCCATTGTGGACCAGGGCTCCCTAGGTTTGAGGCTCCATCTGGGGCCAGGTCTGGGACTCCCTCTGTGGGACCAAGGCTCAGTTCAGGCTCAAGCCACACTCTCCCACTGACATGCAGCTCCAAGTCATGACTAGCAGGCCAGTGTCACAGCTCCCTTCCCAGGAGAACAAGCACTGTCCTGTGGTGAGCTCCAGCAGGATGAATGACCAGGCGGGGTGAGTCCCCGGCCCCACCTTGCAGAGCAGGCAGTTGACATGGAAACACACAGGGCAGGTGAACTCATTGACGTCATCCTCAAAGAAGCACCATCCCTTGCAATCTGGGGTCTTGCAATGGTAGCTGAAGGCACTGCGGTTTTCAGCAATGGAGATGCCCAGGTCTAGAAATCGCTGGTAATCCTCGGGGGTCAGGAGCTGCCAACAGACCACGTCCTTGTTGATCGGGGTTCAGAACACCTGACATATGACCCCCTTGGCCACCAAATACTCTCTAGAAAGCCTCCAAACCCTAAACTCCAATCCAGGCCCAGGCTCTTTTCTTCATGTAATCCTCATAGTGTTGAAAAACTCCACTCAAAAAGTGGATTTTAGGTCGGGTGTGATGGCTTACACCTGTTAATCCCAGCACTTTGGGAGGTCAAGGCAGGAGGATTCCTTGAGGCCAAGAGTTTAAGACCAGCCTGAGCAATACAGTGAGATCTCATCTCTACAAAACAAAACAAAACAAAACAAAACACACACACAAAACCAGGTGTGGTGCTCACATGTGTAGTCCTAGCAGCTACTTGGGAGGCTGAATTGTGGGGATTGCTTGGGCCAGAAGGTCAAGGCTGCAGTGAGGCACGACTAATGAACTGCACTTCAGCCTGGGTGACAGAATGAAAACCTGGCTCAAAAACAGAAAAGAAAAGAAAAGAAAAAGAAAAAGAAAAAAGAGAGTGGGGGTAATTTCGAAACGTTCTGGCGGTGGATGGGGTAACGTGGTGATGGCTGCACAACAGTATAAGTATACTTAATGCCACTGAACTCTACGCTTAAAAACTGGTTAAAATGGGGCCAGGCACAATGGCTCACGCCTATAATTTCAGCACTTTGGGAGGCCAAGGTGGGTGGATCACCTCAGGTCAGGAGTTTGAGTCCAGCCTGACTAACATGGAGAAACTGCGTCTCTACAAAAAAATACAAAATTGGCCAGGTGTGGTGGTGCATGCGTGTAATCCCAGCTACTCAGGAGGCTGAGGCAGGAGAATCACTTGAACCCAGGAGGTGGAGGTTATGGTGAACAGAGATCACGCCACTGCACTCCAGCCTGGGCAACAAGAGCGAAACTCTGTATCCAAAAAAAAAAAAAAAAAAAAAAAAAAAAAGGTTAAAATGGTAAATTTTATGTCTATTTTCTCACAAGAAAAGGACAAAAGTAATAAGCAATGCTGGGAAAGATGTGATTCAACTAGTATTTTGTAAAGAAAATGTGGTACATATACACAATGGAGTACTATTGAGTCATATAAAAGAATGCAATCCTGTCATTTACAGCAACATGGAGGAACTGGAGGTCATTACGTTAAATGGAATAAGCCAGGAACAGACAAACATCGAATGTTCTCACTTATTTGCAGGTGCTACAAGTCAAAACAACTGAACTAATGGAGACAGAGAGTAAAGGGTGGTTACCACAGGCTGGGAAGGGTAGTGAGGCAGGGGGAGAGAAGTGGGGACGGTAAATGGGTACAAAAAGTAGAATAAGACCTAGTATTTGATAGCATAACAGACTATAGTCAATAATTTAATTGTACATTTAATTGTATACTAAGAATATAACTGGATTGTCTGTAACAAAGGATAAATGCTTGAGGGGATGGATTCCCCATTCTCCATGATGTGATTATTACTTATTGCATGCCTGTATCAAAATATCCCATGTACCCCAGAAATATATACACCAACTATGTACCCACAAAAATAAAAAATAAAAATTAAACCAACTGCTATCTTAGTACATAACACTGAGGAAGCAATGTGGCAATAATGTTTTAACCATCCCAAACTTCTCTGACCCTTTGGTACCCATCCCGCTTCTGTAACTTTATCCGAAGAAAATAATATATAAGACACACTGACGGGCGCAGTGGCTTACATCTGTAATCCCAGCACTTTGGGTGGCCAAGATCACGAGGTGGGCTAGTCAGAAGTTCAAGACCAGCCTGGCCAACATAATGAAAACCTGTCTCTACTAAAAATACAAAAATTAGCCAGGCATGGTGGTGCGTGCCTCTAGTCCCAGATACTCAGGAGGCTGAGGCAGGAGAATCACTTGAACCAGGGAGGTAGACGTTGCTGTGAGCCAAGATAGTGCCACTGCACTCCAGCTTGGGCAACGGAGTGAGACTTCGTCTCAAAAAAAAAAAAAAAAAAAAAAAAAAAAAAAAAAAAAAAAAAAAAAAAAAAAAATGCACCATGCAAAATGTTCCTTGAAGCAGTATTTATAAACTGAGAAATTAGAACTAAGAGATAAAAACAGTATACGTGCCATTGAGATTAGTAAATAATCTTTAGAAAAATTCTACAGCAAAATTTAAAAAGCTAAAGTGATTGTATCCATGCTGGTACAATGAGGCAGAAATCATGCCTATGTTATACGTAACAGTGGCTGGTGGTTACATGAGTTACATTTGTCAAAATTTATCTGATTGTCTGCTTACAACGAATACATTTTATTGTAGGCAAAGTGTACATCAATAAAGTTGACTTAAAAAACCATATCTGGGTGGGCACAGCAGTTCACGCCTGTAATCCTAATACTTTGGGAGGCCCTGGTAGGTGGATCACCTGAGGTCAGGAGATCAAGACCATCCTGGCCAACATGGTGAAAGCCTGCCTCTGCTAAAAATACAAAAATTAGCCAGGTGTGGCAGCACTCGCCTAGAGTCCCGGCTACTCCGGAGGCTGAAGCAGGAGATTTGCTTGAAGCCAGGAGGCAGAGGCTGCAGTGAGCCGAGATCGTGCCATTGCACTCCAGCCTGGATGACAAGGCCAGACTGTAGTGAGCTGAGATCACACCACTACGCTCCAGCCTGGATGACAAAGCGAGACTCCATCTTACCAAAAAAAACAAAAAACGAAAAACAAAAAAACAACAATCTGCCCAGAGACACTGAAGAAAGTAGACTAAAATGTAACTGGAATATTTCCTGGGGTTGTGGGTGATTCTCTTTGATTTCTGCTCTGGTTCTATGTGGTTATGCATATTGTTTTGTTTTTGTAAAAACAACCTCCAACACATTACTTGGCTGATCGCTGCCCCCTTCTCTCTGTCACACTTGACCATTTTCTGAGATTCACGTCAACGTCAATGGGCTCCAGGGAAGTTCCTGCAGCCCTCTTGCATGAACCCCAGTCCCAGCATAATGCCCCTTGGCTGGAGTGGACTGCACAGGGAAACCTCTAGGCAAGTGACTATGGGTGCTGGGGACACAGAATGACTGGTCATGAGGTCTCTCCAGGCCAGAGCGAGGACACCTCAGTAACTACCCAGAGATGACAGAGAAAAATGGGGCTGCCCTTGATGTCAGAGCCGGGAACTCCCAAAGCTCTACCCCTTCAGCCTCCCACTTTACCCCTGGGGCAGAACTTCTTGGGCTCCATAAACACTTGGTGAAGTTAGGAGCATTCTCAGGAGAAACAGGGGCATAGGAGAGAGGCAGGGGGGACGGGAATAAAGAGGAGGTCTTGTGTATGTGTTTTGTGGGGGTTTCCCATTTGGACCTCGGCCACCATGTTTTGGCATGGGGACCCACAATGCCCAGGGAAGGCCATTCCCCAGCAGTTTAAAAACCATGAATCAAGCCCAACTGTCCACTTTTCAGATGGGGAAATGGGGCCAGATGTGGTGGCTCACGCCTGTAATCCCACGAGGCTGAGGCATGCAGATCACAAGGTTAGGAGTTCGACACCAGCCTGACCAACATGGTAAAACCCTGTTTCTACTAAAAACACAAAAATTAGCTGGACACAGTGGCAAGTGCCTGTAATCCCAGCTACTTGGGAGGCTGAGGCACGAAAGTTGCTTAAACCTGGGAGGTGGAAGTTGCAGTGAACTGAGATCGTGCTGCTGCACTTTAGCTTGGGCACCAGAGTGAGACCTTGTCTAAAAAAAACAAAAAAACAGATGGGGAAATGGAGACCCAGAGAAGGGAAACAACTTGCTCAAGATCACTAGCAGCCAGACAGAAAATCTGCTAATGAATTCATGGAGAGTGCCAGCAGCAAGCACACACGTACACAGAAACACACATGCTGTGACAGACTGGCGGAGTGGTGACTCCCATTTGTTTCTGTCTCCCTGACTCCACACCTTTGGGTAGTCTCTTCCCAATGAATTCTGGGCTTGAGCATAGGTCGTCCTTTGGCCAATGGGACAGTGGCAAGTGAGAAATGAGCAGACTTAGAAAGCACTCACGCGTGGGGCTCCCCATGGCTGCTCTTGGAAGCCCGAGACCACCAAGACATGAGAAGGCTCGAGGCAGCCTGCTGGTGGATGAGACCCTGAAGTTGAAGGAGGCCCCATCATCCCAGTCATCCCAGACGAGACCATCATAAACCAGGCCACCCACCAGCTAGACCCAGGTGAAATCAGCGAGGCCCTGCCCAGACCAGAAGAACCATTGAGATAAGCCCAACCCAAATTAGAGTCATCCCTCAGTATCCCGAGAATTAGTTCCAAGATCCCTGCAGATACCCAAATCCATGGATGCTCAAGCCCCTTATATAAAATGACATAGTATTTGCGTATAACCTACCAACATCCTCCAATACTTTAAATCATCTTTAGATTACTTATAATACCTAATATAACATGTTATGTAGTTTATGCTGTGTTGTTTTTTAAATTTGTTTTTTATTGTATTTTTTTTTGTTTTTTTAAGAATACGTTCTATCCACTGTCATTGAATTCTCCAATGTGAATTCTCCACAGATAGAGGGCCAACTGTCCTAACTTGCAGATTTATGAGCCAAAAAAATGACTGTTGTTCTGAGCCTGCAGTGATTTGTTACATAGCAAGTGCTAACACCAATAAAGGCTTACCACGTGACAAGCACTAGTATAAATTCTTTTTCTTTTTCTTTTTCGAGACTGAGTTTTGCTCTTGTTGCCCAGGCTGGAGTGCAATGGCATGATCTCGGCTCACTGCAACCTCTGCCTCCCAGTTCAAGTGATTCTCCTGCCTCAGCCTCCTGAGTAGCTGGGATTACAGGCATGTGCTACCACACCTGGCTAATTTTGTATTTTCAGTAGAGATGGGTTTCTCCACGTTGGTCGGGCTGGTCTCAAACTCCCGACCTCAGGTGATCCACCCGTCTTGGCCTCCCGAAGTGCTGGGATTACAGGGGTGAGGCACTGCGCCTGGCCACGCTACTCTAAATTCTATACACATATCCTCTACTGTAATCTTTGTAATCCTGGAAATAGAAACTGTAACTCTGACTCTAACAGAGATGAGATAGAGGCATAGAGAGGTTAAACATCTGACTTGTGGTCACACACCCAGGCCACCAGGCTCCAGAGTTCCCCCCTTTTTTTTTTCTTTTTTTGAGGCAAGGTCTCACTCTGTTGCCCAGGTGGAGTGCAGTGGCACAACCACAGCTCGCTGCAGGCTTGACCTCCCAGGCTAAAGCCATCCTCCCACCTTAGCCCATTCCCCCTCGACCCCTGCCCAAGCAGCTGGGACTACGGGCGCATGCCTCCGCACCCAGCTATTTTTAAATCTGTTTTGGAGAGACAGGGTTTTGCCATGTTGCCCAGGCTAGTCTATGTGAGTTCAAACAATCTGCCCACCTCAGCCTCCCAAAGTGCTGGGATTAGAGGTGTGAGCTGCCATGACTGGCCAAGTCCCTGACTCTTAACGACTCTGCTGTCTTTCCTTCATAAATGTGGCTTCTTGACTAGTTACTCACCTCAATTTTTCTGCTTGGGGTCTCAGCACCCTACATAGACAAAGCCCTTGAAAAACATCTGGAGGGCGGAGGTTGGATGATCACGTAAGCCCAGGAGTTTGAGACCAGCTTGGACAACATAGACCCCATCTCCAAAAAAAAAAAAAGTTAAGATGTCTGCTGCCTGAGCCAGTCCCTACCTGCCTGCTTGGGGCTCAGCTCCTTGGTACTTGGGATATTATCTCCCATCCCCAGGCCTTACCGCCTTGATCTCCCTCTCCAGCAGCTTGCCCGAGCACGAGTAGGTGTTGTCAATGAAGGGGCAGGAGACCTCCGCCTCCTGGCTGTTGCGGATGGTGCCCTGCAGGCATTCCCTGGGGAAGGGGAGGGGAGGAAAGTGAGGGTCATCGGAACCCCATCCACTGAGGACTCCACCTCTCACATGGCAAGACCTGACCCCGGGTGGGCTTCTCGTCCATATCCCCTTCCTTCCCATCCCTCTCACCAATCCCACCAAGGCCTCCACCCTGTCCCCACACTGCTGCTCTGATTCTCCGGTCCAGCCCCTATCATCCCCCACCTGGTGACTGCAGGAGCCTCCTTGCTGGGCTCCCTGCATCCATCTGGCCCCTAAAGTCTATCTCAGCACAGCAGCCACATCTCCCTGCTGGCCCCCATCCCACCCAGAACAAATCCCAACTGTTCATGGACCCAACACCTCTCTACCCTGATATCTGATTACCCGCTTCATCCCTCTGCTCCAGCCACCAAGAGACCTCCTTAGTCTCCTCCAACAGTCCAGGCTCACACCTACAGCAGGCCTTCCAGTCCCTGCTCTCAGGCTACCTCCCTGGAAGCTTCTAGACCACCCTCTCTGGGAAGGGCTCCTGTTGTATCTTAATGTACTGTATGTAGCAATTTCATGTACTGTATGTAGACAATATTCACAAGGACATCAACCAGTGATTATCCAATTCACATCGGCCTCCCTGCTGGAATTAAAGTTGCAGAAGGCAGGCACGGAGCCTGCCACCCAGGGGCTGCTCCCCAAGCGTCAGCTGTGGTGAGTGGGTCTGTGCTCCCCACATCCAGGGGTGGAAGGGCCATGACAGGAGACTCGAAACAGGCAGATGCCCGCCGCGAGGCTGAGAGCAGCGTGGCTGCAGGAGCCTCGGCAGTTAAAGGTAGAGGGGAAGGGAGGCTCCGGTGCCTCCACCCATGCCTGGGTCCATGTCTAGGCTGCTTCTCTTATGAGCCATGTGGCCTTGGGTAAGCTGCCTGGCTCTCTGTACCTTAGGTTCCTCATCTGCAAAATAGGGAGACAGAGCCTACCTCGTAGGTTTTCGCGGGCGTCCAATGAGATATCAGAGCACAGGGCCCCACCCACGTCCAGCCCTGCGTAATTGGCGGCTTTGATAAACGCTGCATTGCCGGGGATGGGATTGGGGGCCGCACCTGCAGAAGGTGTGCAGACACTCACGCAGCACCACGGCCTCGCCGGGCGCCAGCACCGCGTAGCACACGGGGCACTCGGCGGGCTCGGTGTTCAGCACCAGGCTCCTCTGGTCCAGCTGGACGTGCTGCAGGTAGTTGCCCTCCTGCTGCTTCTGCTTCCGCTGGGCACACGGGGCGGGGCCATGGGGTGGGTCAGGGCCTCGGGGGCGGGTCAGACCACGAAGGGGGAAGGATCAGGGGGCGTGGTGAGGGTTGAGTCAGAGCAGCAGGAGGCAAAGCTGGGAGCCAGTCGGACGCGGGGATCGGGGATCGGGGATGGGGTGGTCAGGAGCAGTCAGGTTGGGAGGGGGGTGGCTGGGAGCAGGGCCAGGCGGAGGTGGGGAAGCCAAGGGAGGGAAGGCCGGCCAGATAGCCAGGGAAGGCGCCAGGAGAGGGAGCAATGGCAGCAGAGAAAGGAAGGGGGCCAGGGTCTGAGTGGTGAGTCAGGATAACAGGGCAGGGTCGGGGCCAGGGCTGGTGGAGCCAGCTCAGGGGCAGGGGTGGGAAAGTGACAAAGCCAGGGAGCACAGCAAGGCTGAGGGGGGAACAGGAGTGGGGCGGGCAGGGGCAGCACTGGGTCCAAGGGGAACGCAAGTGCAGCCAGGGGTAAGATTAGAATGGGGAGGTCTCGGGATCAGATATCTGTCATTAGGGCACGTGTCACGATAGGGGTGGGGGAGGGCTAAGAGAGGAGCAGGACCAGGGATGGCGGTCATCCCCCTAGGAAGCAGTGAGGGGCCGGGCCAGGCCAGGCTCTCAGGAAGTCAGGGTTGGGCCAAGCCATAGAGGGAGGAGGTCGGGAGTAGCAACGTCCAGGGTGAGGTCCCAGCGAGGTGGTGCAGGCTTAGGTCACAGATAGGTGGGGGTGAGGTCCGAGCTGAGATGTAGTCATGGCTAGGGTGCTGGGGTCATAGCCAGGGACACTTGTGTGGTGTGTCAAAGCTGGGGATGGAGCCACAGCCCACACAGGAGTGGGGTATGTAAACTTGGATGTGCGCCACAGCCAGGGAGCGGGTCTCAGCCACAGGGTGACAGGGTGACCTTGGAGAGAGGGCAGGTCACAGGCAAGTGCAGGGTCACTGCCAGCAGCATGGTCAGGAGGGGCAAGGCAGTAATGGGGAGGAACGGCAATGCGAAGGTGTCTCCCTTCCTGGCCTACACCTCCCCCGTCCGGTCTGCAGGTGTCTGTCCAGGGACTTCGCGCCCACCTGCTGGTACTGACGCAGTGACTCCTCCTCACCAGCCAGGCGTGCTCGCTCTTCCTCATCGGGCTGGTAGGAGGCAGGGACCTGGTAGGCCTCGGGGCGTGCCCGGCAGCACATCTCACAGCCAGGCCGTGTGGGCTTGTTGATGAAGGTGCACCCGGGGCACTGCCAGCCCACCTGGGAGCGGAGAGGGCTGTGAGCCAGACTGGGCAGGGCAGGGCAGGGGAGAGGCACAGAAGAGGATACTGAGGCCAGGGAGGCGTGGCCAGGGACAGCTTACCGGTGGGGGCTCGGGCACTGCATCCAGCTGCCCCCGTCCAGGTTCCTGAGGGACCCCGGGCTTTGGGGTGCCTGGCTCCAGAGGGCCCCGAGGCTGCAGCGTGAGGTCCTTGAAGCCCAGATCTGTGGAGGAGAATTAAAGGGTGGTGGTTCCATGCGGCCCACTTGGTCCACACTCATAGGGGGTGGGTCTCCCTGAGCCAGCCAGGCAGACCCTTCCCCTATCCTCTCCTCCCTGGGGGTATCTCCAGCCTCCATCTGGTCAAGTGGGCATCCTGGCTCCCCCAAGGTCAGGGCCCCTATTCCACCCACAAATGCTTCCGTATCCTCTGAGCTTCGAAATCCAGCATAACACCCACCCTTTTGTGCCTCCGGAAGGGTGCACCAAGGGGACCCAAGAGCACCACTGAGGCGGCCCTTCCCACTCCATCCATCCTAGAGGAAACCAGCCCCCAACCCCCACAAAAAAAGAAACTGGTCTCGGACATGACAGCTGAATGCCAGGTCTTTTGCTATAAATTACAATAGTAGGACAAATAGTAAAATCTGAGTAAGATCTGTAGATTAGATAACAGTACTGTATCAATGTTAGTTTCCTGAGCTGGATGTTATACCTAGTAATTTAAGAAAATGACCTTTCTTTTCAAGAAAATGCACACTGAATTATTTAGGGAAAAAGACATCATATCTGCAACTTACTCTCAAAATGGTTCAGAAAATAAAATAATTTTATATAGAAAGAGATGATAAGGCTGGGTATGGTGACTCACGCCTATAATCCCAGCAGTTTGGGAGGCCAAGGTGGGTGGATCACTTTAGGTCAGGTGTTCCAGACCAGCCTGACCAACATGGTGAAACTCCATCTCTAGTAGATACAAAAAATTAGCCAGGTGTGGTGGCGCATGCCTGTTGTCCCAGCTACTCAAGAGGCTGAGGCAGGAGAAAGCAAATGTGGTAAAACCCACGATACATGGGAATTCTTTATACACTACTTTGTAAAATTTGGCAACTTTTCTGTAGGTCTGAAACATTTCAGAAGTTAAAAATTAAGAATAAACACTAGTTATCATTATCATCGTCATACCCAATTTATGATTTTAGCAAACTGGGCAGCAGATAGGAGTAAACTTGCCCAAGGTCACGTAGCTGGGAATGCCAGAGCCTGGACGGAATCTGGCCCCCCCATGCCAGCTGTTCTCATGATGGGTCCCTGAAATGCTCCCTCCCATGGGTCTTAGGTCCTCTCTTCCCCATTTGGATAGGGTCCTCTGGGTGAGCCCCTGACTAAAAACCCAGGGGCTCTACCCTGCTTGCCCTATGACCTCAAGTGAGTCCAGGGCCCCCACTGGGTTCCATGGTGCTCAGGGGCGGAGCCTCACCTTCCAGCATCCGCAGCTGCCGCTCCCGCTGTAGCTCCTGAGGGTTGAGGGAGGTGTTGCGAGCTGACAGCAGATAGAGGTAGGCACTGTCCCCATTCTGCCGCACCCCATGGGAGTGTAGGGTCTCCTGGTCTCGTGCCAACCGCTGCCCAATCACCCACTGCTGCAGAACTGGTGGGAAGCCATAGTCCAGAAAAACCTGGTGGGGGTACCAAGAGAGGCAGTGTGGGAAGGGAGGGCCAGAAGACAGAGAGGAAGCAGGAGCAAAAGGGAGAGCCTCCACCCCAGTGTCACCCTCAGCCTCCTCACTCACCATGTCCTTGAGGGATGCCACTGTCATATCAGGGCGCACTGTGAGCCAGATGGTGACGGCGTGCAACTGAGCATCCTCCACACTCACCCACAGCCTGCGGAGAAGAGCAGGGACTCAGCGTGGGCTCTGGCCAGGGCTCCAGCCTCAGCCACTGGCTACAGACATGCACATATCTGCACACAGGCACAAGGACATGTACACACATATGCACACAACCCCCAGTCTGGGGTAGGGGCCCTATCCCCATGCATCCTCCCTTATTAGAATCCACCAGTTGGGCCCCTCCAATGGCTCCACACTACTCTTAGAATCAACTCATGTCAGCACACAAGGGCCTCCATGATCTGGCACCTCCCTGATCCCTCCAACCTATCTTCTCTCCCCTGCTCCTTGGTAAAACCACCAAAAGTTGTTGTTTACTATGTGCTAAGACTATTCAATGCACTGAATGTGTATTAACTCATTTAATCCTCTCAACAAACCCATCAGGCAGGTACTGCTGTATCCCTGCTGTACAGATAAAAATGTGAGGGTTAGATAGGTTACAGTGACTCTGCCAAACTAAGCAACTAACAACGGTTAGGGGCAAGATTCACTTCCATGTATGTATGTATTCATTTATTTTGAGATGGAGTCTCATTCTGTCGCCAGGCTGGAGCGCAGTAGTGCAATCTCACTGCAACCTCCGGTTCCCAGGTTCAAGCAATTCTCCTGTCTCAGCCTCCCGAGTATCTGGGACTACAGGCACATGCCACCATGCCTGGCTAATTTTTGTATTTTCAGTAGAGACGGGGTTTCACCATGTTGGTCAGACTGGTCTCAAACTCCTGACCTCATGATCCGCCCACCTCAGCCTCCCAAAGACCTGGGATTACAGGTGTGAGCCACTGCACCTGGCCATATTGATTTATTTTGAAGACATAGGCTCTTTTTCTGTGGCTCAGACTGGAGTGCAGTAGTGTTATCTTGGCTCACTGCAGCTTCAACCTCTTGGACTCAAGGGATCTTCTCATCTCAGCCTCCCAAGTAGCTGGGACCACAGGCTCATGCCACCATGCCTGGATAATTTTTTAAGTTTTTGTAGAGACAGGGTCTCACTATGTTGCCAAAGCTGGTCTTGAACTCTTGGCCTCAAGTGATCCTTCTGCCTTGGCCTCCAAAGTGGGATTCCAGGAGTAAGCCACTGTGTTCAGCTAGAGGCAGGATTTAAATCCATGTGGTATTATTCCAGAGAAAGTAGTTTTAACTTTCTCAAGGATCCTCCAACTTGATTTTTGGAAAACCAAAACCATGAAAAGATGAAAAAACAGAAGTGACCCCAAGGGAAACAGAGATCATTTAAGGTATGGAACAGTAAGCAACAGTCGTCTAACTAGTGCCTTCAGAGAGATTTGGGAAAACACTGCATGCAGAAAGCAAGAAAAGGCATGACGCAACCAAAAATTGAGGAAGAGTTCCGGACATTAAAAGTGATGCTAACCGAACCTTTATCGCTAAACTTCATCTCTACCAGTTACAGGAAAAGTGGGAGATAGTAAATGACACCATGATACAGTTTGGGTATTTGTCCCCGCCCAAATCTTATATCGAACTGTAATCCTCAGTGTTGTAATCCCTCACAGTCTGGTGCCGCCCTCACTGTGGTGAGTTAAAGCAATCCACCTGCCTCAGTCTCCCAAAGTGCTCGAATTACAAGCATGAGCCACTGTGCCCGGCCAAGTCCTAAGTTTTTGAAGACACATACCAAAGTATTTAAGGATAAAATAATATCTGAGATTTGTTTAAAAGCAGTCCAGAAAACTCTCTCAAAATTCTTCAAGTAAACAATTTGAATACCCAGTCAACTATAATGAATTGAGAGAGCAAAAATAGAAATTTTAAAATATGCAAGACTCTAAAAGTTTACTACATTTTCCACATGAAAAGTTCTTGAAAAACAAAAACAGATGAGTCTGATACAGGAGAATAGAAGAAAAGTAAAAAATGAAAAGGACTGGATCTTAACCCCAAAATGTTCTTCCAGCAATAAGGGTTTTGAAACAAAAGTGCATATGGTTTCGAACGCACTAGTTATTCTATAGTGAATAATATTTCCATAATCAAAATACTATAAATCTTTTCTAGTAGTGTTACACTTTTAGAATCAACCTAGAGGCAAAGCATAGAAGTCTTAATTATGTTAGAAAGCAAAATTTAAAAGCTATAATCTTAACATAATCAACACAAAAATACAGCTGGGGCTCTCTCATCCAGTGTCACATCAGGATCACCAGTGAGCAGCAGAGAAGCACAAAAACAGCTGCAGACAAAGCTTACACACTTAATTTTAACTTACATGCTACACATGCACATTCACAGGACAGTCCTCTAGATGTACAGCCAATGGCTTTTCTCTCTTTCTTTCTTTGAGACAGGGTCTCACTTTGTCACTCAGGCATGATCATGGCTCGCTGCATCCTTGACCACCTGGAGTCTAATAATCCTCTGGCCTCAGCCTCTCAAGTAGCTGGGACAACAGGTGTGCACCACCCAACCTGGCTAATTTATGTTTCCCAGGCCGGTCTTAAACTCCTGAGTTCAAGCCATTATCCTGCCTCAGCCTTCCAAAGCGCTGAGCCACCATGCCCAGGATGAGTATACATCTGCTGACTGGAGTTTCCCATGTATTTTTCTTTATTTTTTGTATGAAACACATCCATAATCATGATCTATAATTTCTAGTACCAGCTTCTTTAAAGTGAGCAAGAACTTATAGACACATTCCCGAAGCAAGAGAGCACAGAACCCTTCTGGATTTTTTTTTTTTTTTTTTTTTT